GCAATATATAAACTGCAGACAAGCTGTAGACACCCTTCATCCCACTCACCTGCTGTCACTGGCAGACTAAACACACCTTGCACACTAAACACAATGCTCGCAAAGCTGAACTTCAATCTCACCATTGTCGCCCTGCTGATGCTACCCACCAGCCTGGCGCGTCCAACCACGTAAGTTCACACTGCTTGTGAAGGTTGCATTCATTCCTGAGGCTGTGACAACAGGAACACAGAGCGAGACCTATCTCTCCAAGGCTATACAGGCTCATGTGTTAATTTGATGCCTGGGCAACTAAGGCAAGTATTGTCTTCTCACCAGGGGATATAATGACCAGCTCATCATGCTCACTATTAGGAGAGAAGAAACCTTAGACATTGGCGGCGATGTCCCCAGAGACGAGCTGGAAGGAATAAACTTTGGAAGCACTAGTGTGGAAGCAGAATGATATTCTCCCTTTTAGTAAACAAGACTGTTGATAGTAATTCTTGCTTCCCTCCATCTTGTCCGTTTGGCCCCAAGAACCTTATTAGTGCAGCTGAAAACTCTTCGTACAAATATGAGCCAGTGACATGGGAGAGAAGCCGGTAGTTCTCCCCCAAGGTCCGGCGTTGAGAATATCAACCCTAGCTGATCCCTTGATGGGCGACTCGGAAATACCAGTAGAGCCGATCTTCTGAGGCGCGGATCCGACGAAATTTGGTCTAAGACTAGGCAGATGCCCTTGAGGCTCATAGTACTCATCTGTGAATTCCATGGTGGGCGGTACCCGCATGGAGCGAATGAAGGACGGATTCATCAACATCGCGTAGCGCCGAACGAGCAGAGCGCAACGACGCCCAAAACGATTTAGTGCAGCGCCTGGATATCTACTAATGTGACATCCACTGTACACGTCACCCACCATAAGATATCAGGACATATACAAGCAGATAATTAGAGGTTTCTGCAAACGTGAGCGCGAGGAAGTAATATGCGGGATGGTCAAAAGGAGAGTCAAAAGGAGCTTAGGGACAGTACAAAATCATCCAGAAAGTCGTAGCAGGGCCTATGCTGACATCTGCCAAGTCGCGCACCGGCGGCCGCAGACCGCCATTTATAATACAGACCGGCAGATGCGATGACAGCAGGACCTAGCGGTAACAAACAAACCAGGACTGACTATTCCTATTTTTATGAGTACGTCGGGGAGGAGCTTTCTTTCATCTATTAAAGTACAACAGAAAAACCAGGGTATTAAACAATCGTACACTACCATCTGGTAATCATACGCCTTTTGGTACGGTGGGAGTCCAATAGCCACTACGCGCCGTTTATAGTCATGGAGTCGAGATAAGGCAAGGCGAAGGGGCAGAGAGCGAACAATGCCAAACCCAATGCACGATGTCGGTATTTAATTCTTCATGTCGAGGACGATACGGCCGACGACGGCGCCCTTCTCAAGGCCCTCGTAGGTTCTGCAGAGTGACGTCAGCCAGAGAGCAGCAGAAGTGCGGGAAACAGCACGTACTCCTTCAGAGCAGAAAGCGGCTTGTACTCGAAAAAGCACTTGACTTTGCCGCGCGCAGCAATGTCGAGGGCTTCACGTGCGTCCTGGCGATTGCTGTGTAACATTGTCAGCGATAGCCCTGAGATATCTGCCGAGGAAGACGTACCCGACGTAAGAACCTATGATGTTTATGCTCTTCGTGACCGTCCAGAAGATGTCCGCATTCAACGACGCGCGGGCGGGCAGACCGACGACCATGAGTGTGCCACCGGGGCGGAGATAGTCAATCGCCTGCTCGTACGCCGTGCTCGTCGCCGCCGTAACCACAGCCACGTGGGGACCCTGGCCACCCGTCACTGCCTTGATATCCGCGACGAGGTCCTTCGTCTCCTTGAAGTCGACCCATGCTTCCGCGCCAAGCTTCTTCACAAGCTCTTTCTTTTGCACGCCTGTGTCGACAGCAAGTACCCGCAGGCCCATCGCGACCGCGTACTGCACCGCCAGGTGTCCCAGACCCCCACCCGCACCGGGCAAGCAGATCCAGTCGCCAATGTTTGCGTTGCTGTACTTGATCGCGCGGTAGACAGTGACACCCTGTGGAGCATGGTCAGAGGAGCTCAGAGGCTTCGGAGGTGTGAATATTTACAGCACAAAGAATAGAAGCAGCTTCCGCACTGTCGAAGTTTTCAGGTATAGGGGTGACGTGCCTGACATACGATAGGACGTATTGCGAAAAGGTACCATCGATGTTGAAGCCGCTGTACTTGCCCTTGGGACATGCTGAAAGCGCATATAATCAGTCAAAATGCGTGTTCACGACGACCGGAGTCTCGGCATATTCATATGATGGGACATTACACAGCCCAGGCTGTAACCCGTCGCACGCCTAGAAACGTTCCACAAGGAGAAGCAGACGTGCGAGTACAGGAACAGCCGATGCCCTGGCCGCAGAATGTTGTGAATAGAGCACTTACATTGCTCGAGGCCCTTCCTACACTGCTCGCAATCCAAGCAAGAGTCTGCAAGCCACTTGATACCAACGCGGTCGCCGAGCTTCACGGGCGAATCCTGAGTATGCGCGCCGATGGCGACGACGATGCCAACGCCCTGCAACGGAGCTCATCAGTAGGCGAACACTCGCATGGCAGCTATATGCGCACCTCATGACCTCCGATGAGCGGTGTTTTTGCAGGGACTGGCCAGTCGCCCTTGGCAGCGTGCAGGTCGGTATGGCAGACACCAGTGCAATCGAGCTTGACGAGACACTCGCCAGGCTTGAGGCTCTCTGGTCGGGGGACGGGGACGTTGCGGATCTCGAGAGGCGTGTCGCTCGAGTCGACGACGGCGGCCTTCATAGTCTCGGGGATGATGTATTGAGAAGACATGATGATGTAAATGTGAATGTGGGAGGCGAAGCGAGTTTGTTGGTGGCCCTCAAGAAGAGACCCATCTGCTATTTATCGTTCTAAGGAACGTTCACAGACGGATGAATACGGCGACCTCACGAAGGTGTCTCAGAAGGTCCGAAGGAGCCGTTCGAATTCGAAATAGCTCCTGGAGTAGCCTGGTCCGGATGCATTCTTCCGCTTCGGCACCCCTCAGCTGCTTCTGGGTCGTCCTCGTTCGGGTCGTCTAGAATAACAGAGCTCATGTGGGTGGCGACTGAGGAGAGTATGGGGGAGTTATCGAGACATCCGCGGTTGGCAAGCCTGGGCGAGAGGGACGAGAGGGGCGAGAGCATGGCTGGAGCTAGAACGAGAACAAGCTGTGCAGCCATTTTCGATCTCGGAGGGCCTAGAATAGGGCGTCTACGCGTTGATATCCAAAATCTTATCTGACTCACTTATCTCGGGAAACAGCGCCGAGGTATTCTATCTCTACGACGATAATATCGCCTCCGTTAAGCTGAGACAGAACTCATGCTGTAGTTAACAGGGCGTCACGATGCATGACCCTCTGACGCTGCAGGTCCCTTGTGTCTGGAGGGTGCGCACTGCGACGATGACATACAGCAATATCACATGACTTACTTCAGATGCAGACGCTTAGAACTGCTTGCATCCGCGGAAAACGAGCAGAGTAATGATCTACGGAAACGACGCGAGTGCTGAACTCCGGGAAGCAGGGAAGATGCAGACAAAGGTTTTGAAGAAATTCGCTATACCGGGATAAAACTTAGAGTATATTTGAATCAGAAAGAATGTCAAACGCTAGAAATCATACGGAGAAGATGCCAGAAGGGCCGCCAGATCCGTACTCACCGATAGCAGCGCAAGCCCGGGTCTCTTAAAGTCGGGACACACCGTTAGCGATATCGAAGGCACCCGGTATCCAGCTCACGCCGCCCAAAAGCAGTAATGACGAGCATAGAAGAGAGCTAGTCACGTACATAGCTTTGGGAGGAAGAGGTAGAAGTCAGCTGGATTTCGTACCGCCGACTCGGCTGCCCCAGGTGACGACACCGCCCAAAGCGAGCCCAGGAATGTCAACGCGCGCGTGCACAACCATACAGGTAATTTCGAGCTTAGATGAGTGCGGTCCATCGCCGAGACCCGAGCCCGTGGCGGTTTGATCTTTGGGTCTCGGTCGTGCAGTACTGTTCGATTAGCGAAGCAGTGAAGTTATTTCGTCATAGCGGAAGTAAACTTGGCAACAGGAGCCGTGGATTGACGCGTACCTACCAAAGTCCTGGGCTCTGTGCAGCAAAGCAAGCAGGGGTAGCCTCGGGCGCGTGCCAGTCGGAGGCCGAAAGGGCGCCCTGGATGGTCTGCAGCTGACCTAGGTGGGCTGTGTCACTATGGGCTCACAAACATGCAGAGAGTGGATAAAGACAGGTAGTTACTCCAACGACGCACGGAGGGCAGAGGTGGATTTGAGGCGTACATGCGCAGCCAAAACTCAGTGTGGTTGGGTCAATGTGGCTCTACAGTGTGCTTGTCTTTGCAATAGAGTGCATGAAAGGATACCGCTATAAGCATTCAGAGCAACTAGTC